CAGCGAGGAGGAGACCAATGGGCCAGGAAGCCCTGCTGAGGAGCAGTCCCTGTGGGAACAGCCTCTGCTCTCAGCTTGGATCTCTCCCAGCGAGACAGTCCCTGCCAAGGCAGCCTCTGTTCGCCAGTCGAGCGGGTCTCTCCACCCCTAGGTGAGGGGCTCACAAGTCTTTTAAGGCAACCAGGTAGCCAATCAGGTTGCTTTGTTCTTAGAAATTTCTAGTCTAATTACATCATGCTCTTCAGAGTTGAGCATGTTCACAGTTACTGACAAGCTAGATAGTTGGCAGATTTGAGCATGCGTGTTGTTACAAAACTAGGTCAGTTGTGATTGACAAGCCAATAGGTCATATAGGGGGCACATGCTGGGCATGCTGTGGAATTTTCCATAGGCCTTGCCTGCTTGTCTGCACATGATCAGACTTAACTCTTGTGTTGCCAGCATACATTCAAAATTTGATCCGGACAGGAAAAAGGATAGAGGGAAACACAAAGGGAAGCTTGTTCCTCACAAGAAGCAATGGCCCAGGCTAAAAGCTAACACCTTCTCCTTTCGATGCCAGCAGCCAATCTCACTGAGCCACATACCCCTAGCCTGACGTAGGTCCCTCCCAGGTTTACCCAGCATGCCAGCTTCAAAAGGAGAACTGGAGATTCAGTAGGATTCACAAGTGCAAAATTAGAACTGAATTAGAATTGAGTGACTATGCCAAACAGATTTGAAACATATCAAACTCCCTTTTCAGACAGTGTCACAGAGCACTTAGGTGCCCTGTGCCTGAAAGTGGAAATGGCTCAGGAGAGACCCCTAGTGGCAAGGAGGGGGAGGATCAGCTGCCAGTCACCAGGGCAGCACAGGTGCTGGTTGCTGGGACAACCAGTGAAAACCAGCTGACAGGAAGGGGCAGGGCTTGGCCCTTCTTAAGCCCAGGACTGAGGCCAGGAGGGCAGTTCCCATCTGGTGGCCAAGGAAGGGGGAGCTCGACCAGTGTAGAGAGAGAGGAGAAGCCAGACTGCTTGAGCATCCCCTGGTTGCTGCCATGGGTCAGAGTATTTCCCAGTAGGGATTGAATGTTGTTCTGACTATATGGTTTAGCTTTATATTATAGCCAGGAGGCTTGGATTTGCATTAGAGCCGATTGGTTGGTGGTATTGCTTCTGTTTGTAGTTTTATAAGACTGGAGGACCAGGTGAGGCTATTAGGGGTTGGAGGAGGCCTCATAGGGGCTCCACGGTAGTGTGGGGGCCCCGATGCCCTCATTTTGGGGTGCATTGACCCTGGCCCCAGTGCGGGCAATTGTGAGAGAGGCCCCAGTGCAGGCAATTGCGAGAGAGGCCCAGAGAGCGCCAGTGAGAGCGCAGGCTGCGAGGCAAGCCAGAGAGCGCCAGTGGGGCGCGGAGCGTGGAGTTGACCAAACAACATCTGATACATCTGCAAGGCTTGGGGTGTGGTACAGGGGTGGTTGGAGCCACACATAGCCCCTAAGGCTGGGGTGCACCGAGTCACCCAGGATAGAACACAGACTGGGAGATATCAGGGCACCGTGCCAGAGAAGACTAAGGGCAGCCTCCCTTAAACTGTTAACATCAAAGACGTGGCGGGCAAGATTGTGAGGGTGCTTTTAATATCACCTTGGCATGGTAGGGGGTGCTAAGGGAGTTCATGGCCACCCCTAGGACCCCGCCCTGTGACAGAGAGGATATCAGTTATCAATGTGTCCTTTATTAATGGAAAAGTCAAGGGGAGCTCTGTTCCATGCTGCGAATGATAATTACTCTTCTTCCTGTGACAAAATGTATAAAAAAGGGGAAGAAGAGATAGAATCATAAAGCTAGATAAAATAAAGCCTTTTTGTTGGTACTTTTAGGATACAAAATACCTGGTTACTCATGGCAGATGTTTTTGCTTGCTGCCTTGACACAACATCTTTTGTTCTGGACCTTGCTTACTTACCTGGTATTTATTTTCTCCACCACTTAAGCTTAATTTCCAACACACCAAGTTTGGTCTATTAACCTTTCAGTCCCATTCTCCTCTTATTTAACCAGACACAATCCCAGCACCATCTTTGAGTTAAATCAATTAAACCTTTTTGTTTGGCCTAATCTAGTCTATTTGCCTCTTTATACCTTTTATACTTCCATCGTAATTTATTGTTATAGATAATTAAAATATTTTGTAAACTTTCACCCACTTTCCAGCACTAAAGCTGGCTAGACCTCCAATTAGTCTACCATGCATCATGGCCCAAAACATGCATAAGCTGGGAACTAACTGGGAGTGTTGGATTCACTCCTCTAGTGGGCTGGAATAATTCTTGCACTGGCTGAAAATAGTGTTGTAGCTGAACTCCACTGATCTTTGAGAAGTTGAGCTCTTGTTTTGAATCCAAGCTTCACAATTTAGGTCCATCATATGTTATATTCTATATAAACATATAAACCTGTTCAAGAATGCCCTCTGGTATTGTCCTTTGGCAGGGATGGAGGTGGGGATGAGGGGGGTGGTCTTTTGTATGATTTTTTTAACTGTGAGATTGTATTTGTTGGAGGAAGAGAAGTATTATGCATTTTAGGAGACATTCACAGACCCTCTGTAGGAGAGCAGGGTGTGGGGTTTGGAAGGAACATGGGGGAGCAGGTGTGAGGCAAAAGAGTGGGAGTGGGTAGGCAGGCAGTGTTGGAGGGAAATGGAAAGAGGTTATGTATAATGAGATATGAGTAGGGACTGGGGAGAACATCTGAGATGGGCTGGAGGATTTGTTTTCTTGGGTACAAGGCAGGGAAGTTGGGTGGAGTACTAAAGTTTTAGGGTGTCAGTTGAGGAATTGGTTGTTTCTTACCTTTGGGGCTGTTTGTTATTGTAAGCTGCTCTGAGCCTTTCTGGACAGGGCAGGATATAAAATGCAATAATAATACTAATAATACCAGTGACAACAATAACAATGATGATAATATCTGTGGGGGAGGTGGTTATTATAGATACAATAATTCATTACCAACATATATTATAGATGCTACAAACTGATGACAAAGCATGTTCACATTACTTCTGTCTAACATTGTTTATACTCACACAAACTGTGAATTTGCAGGTAGTGTTTATATACAGTCTATTCCCTAGGGGTGACCTATAGGCATTCAAGCTTTCACAGCAGAAAGACTACATGCCATGCATGTTGATTTTTAGACCCTTTAAGAAAACATAATATTGGCTATAAACTCAGATTTATGTCTGTCTAATTTAATCAAATGCTAACAATCTGCAAAGATGTTGAAATACATGAAGAAAACTTATTCCAGCTTTCAATATGCTGTTTAAATCTGTACCTCTTCCACTTTAAAAAAAAAAAAGAAAAATTAGTTAAATGAAATTATTTATTAAGATTCTCCTTAGAAATTCAGGATAGAAGGAGGCAACACAATATATTCTGAATGGAAATACATTCTTATTTTAAAGAGAACTCACAGAAATCTTTAATTAAGAAACTGCCAAACCTTTTACCCTGAAATTGTACAACAAAAAATACATTTCAGCTGGGACCAGCAAATTGCCATATTTGTACATAAAAGAAGCAGAATGATTTAAAGCTGAAACTCAGTAAATTACAGATTCTGCATGTCTTACATAACCCCATTATAAAAAAGGCTCCTCTTCTGCTGAAACCTTTGAGCACTTCTCACTGTTAGCAGGTTCCTTTTTAATGATTTAAATATTATACAAATACATAGGCATTCTTGTGCTTTCGATAATCAGAATTTGAAATTAAAATAGGTTGCTGAGAGTGATTTTACACATGAATGTCTGTAAGGTAGAAAATGTGGATTCAGAAAACCTATTTAAGATTCTGAATTCATATAAATAGCTGTGGGCCCAATTCAGCAATATGTTCAAACATGTGTGTAACTTTAAGTATGTGACCAGTCTCATTAGTCTCATTTGAATTAATAGCAAATGCTTATAAGTGAATCGGGGCATGATGGTAAACCACAAGCCAAGTTTTCATAGGGGGTTAAATTGGTAGTTCCATTGATATCCTTGCTGTTGAAGTTTTAAAATCAGTGGAATTAGCATGATTTATGCCAGCTGAGGATCTAAGGCCAGATTTTGAACACATTTTGGTATTTCCCTGCTCTCTGATATAAATCCAAAAAAACAGCCAGAGCACTTACCATTATCTACCTAGAGGAAGCCAATTAAAAAGGCAGAGAATGGAGGTTTGAGATACAGTTCTCTCTTTATGGCCCATCACTTGGAATCCTTTCATGAGAGTAGGTACCTGCAATCACTCTTTGAAACAGTCCAGCAGCTATCACCCTGGTGGTGCTCCTGCAGCTTCTGCCTATTTCACCTAACAAGCTAGTAGTTAAAGTACTTACCCAGGAAATTGTAGACCTGGGTTAAAGTACCCCCTCAGGATGAAAAGGTTCCTACCCCCATCTCCCTCTTCTCAGAAGAATATCCTCACAAGTCTACAAGCTATTGTAGGTGGGGGAAAAGGAAGAGGGCACTCTCCACTTCTCCTGTTGAAACTGTACAGGGTTTTCATCTGTCTGTAAATGTATAGACAGTCCATAAAAAAATAGGTTAGAAACACCTGTCTGTAAATTCTGTATGAAAATTGCAACATCTAAAAGTCATGAACCAAAAACAGCTCCACAAAATCAGCTCTGTAAAAGCAAGGAGCTGATTGAAGCTCCATACTTGGACACATTGCTGAAGCTCAGATGGAGCACAGCAGTGCCACCTGGTGTTCAAGCAGGAGGAGGCACTCCAAAGGTATCTCTCAGGGCTTTGTGGCTCCTTCCCTTAACTCCACCAGCCATGTGCTGCTGCTAGTGCTGGTGCTGCCTTCCATCTGCCTGTAACACTTCTGGGTTGCAGATAGGCATAGTGTTCATTGGACCAGGGTAAAAGCTCTGTGTGTGTTGTGCTTTGTGTGTCTGTGTGTTGTGCTGTGTCTGCATTGGGCTGGATGTGTGTGTGTGTGTGTTGTGCAGTCCCTTGCCCCTGGCAGCTCTCTCCCCTACTTGGCCTGCTAGCCACCCCCCACCAACTTTCACCTGCAGCCCAGCAGCATCCCTCCCCACTTATCAGGTGCTGGTTGGCTATCCAGGCTGTCATGGGAGGAGGGTAGGGAAGGAAGCAAACCATCAGAATCCAGCAGGACAGTTAGTCCCCCTGGCAGGGGTGCCTTCTGAGATACTGGAGGACTGTGAATTGGTCGTTTGATCTCCTGTAAACAAAGTTAGGTTAGGCTGAGCTGATTAGCACAGCTCAAAGGAATACCTCACTTCAAATGGTGTAACTTTAAGACTCCTGGGCACGTACAGATGTGTGTGAATGTTTAGTTCCCCAGGAATAACTAGCAGCGGCACACCTTGCACTGCAACTACGGGTCCCCAGGGAACACCCATGCTACACGTGCTTTAGCATATAGCAAATTACCCCAGGAGTAGTAGGGGAGGCTGGGGCCAGCACTGTGCTGGCCCCAGCAGCCTTATCTGGGGTCCTGGAGGCTTCCCAGGGCTGCAGCCTAGGTGATTCTGCCACATGGAGCCTGACAACGGAATGCGACTCCAGGTGGCCCAGCTCTGCTTTTCAGCAGTGCTTACTTGGGCAGCACTCACTTAGGATATCCATCAGTGCTGACTTGGGATATCCAGGGGTCAAAAAAAACTGTGGAAAAAAAAATGGTGCAACACAGCACCGTGGAGCATGGAGAACACTGGACAGTGTGGTAAAAGTGTTTGCAGCACCACATACTGCATGACTGCACTTGTCTGGATGCACCCCTAGGTCATGTCCAGATGAGTGCAGACATGTGGTATATGGTGACGCAGACCCGTCTGTGGCACCACATATGCAGGCATTCCCAGCGCTGCTACTTTGCAGCATGGGGGTGGGTGGGTTGACCCCAGGTTATCCAGCCAGGCTCCCTGCTGCAGAATCAGCATGGCTGCAGATCCTAGAGGCCCCCAGGACTCCAGGTACTACCCCAGGCTCTCCTACCCCACTCAGGGTAACGTGCCATGTGCCAGAGCACACATGACATGGGTGTTCCTCAGGAGACAAGTAGCAGCAGCACAAGATGTACTGCTGCTACTTGTCCCTGGGAAAACTAAGGCCATGTGTAGATGAAACGAGGTGTGTGTACACGACATTTTGAAGTGGGCTAAATGCTTTTTGCACTGCTTTAATGGTGTCAGTGTTTGCATGCCTCGGTGGCGTATTGTACATTAATTCCAGCCACTGTAGGAAATTTGGTGGCGTATTGTGCCTTAAATGACTTGGGGCACAGGAAACTAAAACTCCGAGGAGCAGTTTTAGTTTGCTGCCGCTACAGCCGCGGGGCCAAGCACTGGGTTCCATGCAGCTTAGGGGCTCTGCAGGAAGCCCTGCAGGCAGCCTGGCAGCAGCCCAGAAAGACAGGCTCCACCCAAGAGAGGGAAAAAGAAAAGCAGTGAGCCTGATTCCCCCCCTGCCCAGGAGCTGCGCAGGAGCCCAGTGCTTCCCTTTGTGGCTACAATGTCCCCCGGGACCACCGGAGCCAGATGCCTGTGGGCGGGTGCCGCCTTGTGGGGGGCCACCACTGCCACAGAGGGAAGCACCAGCCCCCCCAGCCCAGGGACCGCTCTGACTGCCAGCAGCTCACCCTCCCCTCCCCACCACCAGAGAGGCAGGTAAGTCAGTGTGTGCACAACACAGGGGTTTAATTGGCCCTAAATTGAAGGGTTGTTTTTAAAAACCCATCGCTTCAATTAAGGGGCCCCATTTAATCTACACATGCCCATACATTCTAGCAGGAATGTGTGATTCTTCATATTTTAAGTGCTTTTAATGAGGTTCAATTGTAACTTCACCTACAGTTCTTGGAGGAGGGAACACAGGTTTTCTCCCTCCCAGCCAAATGCTCTTACTGCTTGAGGATCTAGGCACCTCAAGGATTAAGCACCACTTAAGCTGGAACTTTTAGAAGTGTGATTGTGCATTCTGGTGTCTAAATCCTTTTTTTTTTTTTTTGGATCTGGTCTTTGCAATGCTAAATTGAGCTATACCTACGTTTCATAAGTATAGGCCTTGATTCATCTATATCTGTTAAACTGTGGACCACTCATTCATGCCATAATTACTTAGGGCAATGTCCCATTTATCTCTGTGGAATTTTGCCTGTATAAAGACTTAGAGTCAGACTGTTAATTTTAACAGAAACCTGTTCAATTTTGTCACAAAAATGGGTCTCCATATGTACTGTAACTGAATTATTAAGTGGACAGATTATTTGCCTGAAGACTTCTTTATCTGGCCTAGAAAAATGTGTGGGCCATATTGTACTAAATGAGTTCTGGCTGATATAAAATGATAAACACTCTGCTTTTCACATTCTTTCCTTTTAACCCATATTTTGTTGTATATTATTCCAAACAACTGAGTTCAGAGAGAAAACCCATTCTAACAGAAGGTACAGTCTAATGCCATCTCCTTACAGGCAATTGCCATGGGACCTAGGAACAAAAGTAAATGTTACAGAGACTGATTGTTCTGGTCCTGTTTATTTTTGGGAAGTTTTGTTGAGCTAGTTATAGATTCTGTATCATCAGTAGTTTAGGATCATCACAAGACCCCCAACCTTGGAAAAGCTCATGCTGCTAGTCCTTAAAATGCATCCCTGAGCATTTGCATTTTTCCATTTACTGACAAATCAGTTAATAGAAAACTATACAAGTGGACTAACCATTGATAAAATCCCAGCCTCCACTTCTTATAGTAGCAGCAGCTATCCCACAAAGCAAAAGGAGAGGATGGAAAACACCATGCCAGTGCTGATAAATATCATTCTTATATTTAAAAGGAATTCAACTTTAAGAGCTTTAGGAACATGTGTTATCCTCTAAAGCCTAGAAGGGATTTATGGTGCACTTCCTAGAGATACTCCAGTCAGAGTTACTCCATTCCCTTTGACAAGCTCTTTGAAATTGGCACAACTCAAAGGGTAGCCTTTTTGTTATTTCTGTGGAATTGCAAAGACTTTGATATTATTAGTTTTAAAATAGAAGCTTTTTTGTTAAGATCACATTCATGATTTTGAATGTCCTAGTAGAGAGTCAGAGTGATTTAGTAAGTTAGGAAAGGCAGTCTGGAAACTACTACACAGCACAGAATCTTAAGCCATAAGGTAAAATACTTCTTTGAAAACAACCTATCTCTATAAAACATAGTACAGAATCACAGCACTAAAGAATTTGGCAGTGAGACTCCTATTATTCTTGAGTGAGTCATCATTTGCATCTGATCTGTTCATATTGTTTCGTGAATAGCATGCTAACAGCATGCCATCTTGCCCCAGATACCGATGAGTAGAAGCAAAGGCCTCTGAGTACTCTGGGCATTTCTAATGCATCCAAATATGGAAACATCCATAGTTTTAAAAAAAATGGTCTAAAGCTTTGTCTTAGATAAACAGGTGCAATAATGCATTTCCAGCATACATCTCCCCTTACTACTCTACTGCACTGTAGACCTGCAGGAGATTTCTGCCAGGAATCATGGGTTGTGAGAAATGGATATCTCAGAGACTGGATTAATTCATCCATGTGGCCCCATCCCTAACCTAGCCAGGGACTAGTGTTCAATGTACTCTTTCTTTTCTCCAAACCAGAAGCAGCCAAATAGTTCTATGACTCAGTTTCATGCAGTGGCGATGTGTAGGGGGTGCACGTGCACCCCCTGAGAGTGCTGGTATGCCCCCTGACAGCCAGCGTTCCCCACTTAAGCAATGGGGGGGGAGGGCAGGTGAAAGTGCTGGTGCCCCCCCTGACAGCACCGGCCAGGGAGTGGAGGCACCAGAAGAAGCGATCCTTGCAGTGCCCCTACGGGTACTTCTGGGTTGGTGTGATTGGTGACGGGGGACACCCCTCCCCACCTGGTTGCTGACTGGCCATTTTGGGGGGCAAGTGCCCCCCCCAACTCAGGAGGCACCAGTCGTCCATGGTTTCATGGATGTCCTGACTATGATTCTGTTTTGATTGGAGGATTCTATCTTATCAGATCCCTGAAACTGCATGCCAGCAAAGGCCATTCTACTCAAACATTTTTCATTTGTGCAAGATTAGGACCCTTGCATTTTATACACTGTGAAAATTCACAAACATGCAATAGCTCTTAAAAGCAGGTATTTTCTTATCTCTACTGGGAAGGAGAAGTGATTGAACATGGGGTATGTTCGAAACATGTAGGGAAAGGGGTTCAAGACCTCCTAAAGGGCACTTTGCTTTTTATTCTGCCTGCAAGGCACACCTCTGCTTCTTTGGTTAGGAGTGTAAAAAAAGAAACAGCAGATGAAAGCAAAAGACTTTTTTGTCAAGCTGTGACAGAAATCAAATGCAAATAGAGCTCAGTTCAAGACTGTTTGTTAAGTGTCACATTGGCGAGTATTTAATACAGCACAAGTAGTTTTACAATGAGCATACTGTACGTGAATTTTATTGATTTCTTTTTTCAAAGAGGATACATAAAATAATGCACCCTCTCCAGTGCCAACTTACAAATGTATCTTTGCATTTGTATATGTACATTCAGTTGGCTTTTTAAAGTGTGATTCCTCCTGTTCTGTTTCATTTTGCGATGTGAAACCTGTGGTTTGGGCTATGAAGGAGAAGTAAAAAAATTGCCCTGTCCCACTAACAAAAATGAATGGACAAGATGTGATGGAAAATCATCACATGAAAAGCTGTCAGAGAACAGCTGCATATAATGAGTAGGGCAAATAGACTTTTGCACATCGTTGCTCTATCAGCCTTTCACTAGAAAAGGGCTCAAATTTGCTTTCAGTTACACTAGGAAAAAGTTGAAGCTGGTAGTTTCATTCCACAACCAAACCATTAAAAAGCTATAAAAAATTCACCAGGGCAGTATAGCTGTTCCATGTATAATCTTCCTATGATTTCAGGTAAAATACTTTTTTTTTTCACATCCACTGAAATGCTGTATTTTCTCCAAAAATGTTAAGAAAAGCTGGCCCAGAGATGGAAATAAATATGAAAAGCATCAATAAGACTCTTATCTTTAAATTGTATACAAGGACACAGCCATTAAGGATTCAGCAATGGGGTCACTGCTCCTTTGGAGATGCTGTGCACTTGTGTTCATTGCACTCGCTACTAACTGTCTTCATACTGACAACTACATCAGCATTGGCTTTGTGTGTCTGTTATCTTTCCACTATTTGTTTTAGTTTGAAAGGGTACTTTGACTGAAACTCTCTTCTCTTAGGGATAAAGTCAGCAAAGCACTCAGAGCCAGTTTTTCAAATGTATTTAGGTGTCTAACTCATATCGATTTTATCTGAAATCAGTGGGGATGAGGCACTTGATCACCTTTAAAAATCTTTTCTTTAAGTATATGCTTAATTTCAGGTACATATTTAAGTCCCACTGACTTGGATCAAATTTAGGTAGAGAGTGGTAGTTAGGTAAGTGTGAACTGTGGAAGCGCCTGCACAAAATGCTTTACTGAGCAGCAGACTTACTTGCTGCATAGTAAAGTGCCACCATCTATACATGCAATTAGGGTGCAGAGCTAGAATATATTATAGTCTCTTTAATTGCATATGTAGACGCACTCTGCTAGTCTCTAAAATGCCACCCTGCTCTGTCTTCTAGCAATCAAACTTAAGCATAGGTTAAGGGTATGCATGTCCCTACATGTGTTGCTATACTGGGGCATTAATCAACATTATGTTTCTTAGGCACATGTTATCTGTTCCTGTTAGCTATACTCTCTAATAATCAACAATAAGACCCTTTTCCCGGTTTCATGGAAAGCAATGCATGCTTCGTATTCCATGTTCACAACCTTTTTTTCTCTTGATTTGTTCTATCCCTTGGAATAGGAGTAGCCAACCCATAGCAGAGGCAAATGGCATGGGATTAGGCAGCCTCTGAGCATGGCACATGGCAGACAAGGGTGGGGGCAGACAGCACAGTGGCAGATTGGGCAGGGAACACAAAGCAGAGCAGCAGATAGAAAGTGAGGGTGTAGGGCTAATTTGTAGCATGCCTGTCAAAAACACTGATTGCCACTGCTTTAGAACATAGCAACATGCTGCATGAGACAAAACAGCAACATCAGGGATTCATATAATACTATGAGATGTTGGTGACAGGTGATTTATATTGATAGAGTTTTCCTGGATCTGTTGAATACTATCACAGTCTGTGCTTCTGTCAGATATCTGTGACCTCTGCCTCAAATTGTATTTTTTTCTTAAACTATTTAATCTGAGTCCCTATGTGCTGAGAGACAGAACATAGCATTTTATGTATACTGCCTTTCTGTTCTGTTTGGAAAATCATTAAACTTTCTGAGCTGGTATGAACTGCTGCTTTGTATTGCTTTTGCTAGAATAGAGTGAGAGGGATTTCCCAGAACAAATTTTATTCTATCAGCACATGAAGTGTGCAGATAGGTTTCCAGTCACTGCAACCACACCTACTGGTTGTATCGTTGGATTAAGTTGTAGGTACTATTGATCTCAGGCCCTGAAGTGCCAGAATCTCAGTTTATACTTTTAATGAAAAGGTAGGAAAGAAATGTTTGGAAATTGTGAACTGAATATATGAGAGCAATGAACTCTGTTCCCTATGCCTCCAATAGATTGTTAACTCCAAAACTAACTCTTTTTCAGGTTCCCATGATCACAGAGATCCTGGTTTTCTCTGATTAAAAAAATCCCCAATTTTAGGTTAAAAAAAAGTAACCCCAAATCCACATTTTTCCATGATTTAAATGAAACATATCTCTCTCTCTTTCTATAGATATAGATATAGATATAGATATAGATATAGATATAGAGAGAGTGGTGTTTCATTTAAATCACGGAAAAATGTGGATTTGGGGTTACTGTTTTTTAAACTGAAAACTGGGGATTTTTTTACATCAAAGAAAACCAGGATCCCTGGACTGATCACCAACCACTTTGAACTTTGGAACATAGCTGGCACTCTGATACGCACACCTGAGACTGATATCCTGAAAGCAGCACTGGGTATTGGCCAATCAGCAACTACAGTATTTTTTTTCAGCATTTGTTCACAAGAAATAAGAGTGGCTGTAAGTGGTATATTTTCACAGCAGTGCTCCCTATCACAACTGGAGACAGTGTAAACATGTAGTCACCACAGGTAGATATTTTCTGTCTTTGTGCATAAGAATACAGCCAAGTTAGTTCTTTGGTGTAACAGAAAACAAAAAGTGTACATGCAAAACTTGTACGGGAAAACTATGGGGAAATATTTCATTAGGATCAAAGGGGAATAGCAGGCTTCTTATTGATTATTAACAGAGATAGTAAAAATAGGAAAATAATAGGAAAATAATTATCCTAAAATTTTGAAAAGTCCAAATGGTTGTCTTCTTATTGGCTTCAACACAGAAATGAAATTTTCTGTGACATATATTTTTCTCAAAAACTTATCAAAGTAATTGTTGAAATAGTTATTGGTATTTTCTGTTTACTGATATTGGCTTTTATTGTCTGGGCATTCAGCAGACAAAAAAGAATGATAATTTTAAAACTATTTTGATACAGATTTCTTATAGCATTAGATGAGGAATAGAGATTGGAATATCGTAACATTTTTCAAACATACAAAAATGTTTAAAGTTGACTATTTTGCGGGGGGGAGGGGAATGTCAACAGAAAGTTTTCTTGTGTGAAACATTTCAGCCAGCACTAGTTTTTCACATTTAAATGAGGAGCAAAGCATCATGCAAATGTTTATTTTCCTTCCTTCTCTTTAGAAGATTTCTTTTTATTTTAAAGTATTTTTAGCATTTCTCTTTGCACTTTTCTCTCCCTTTCTCCCTTTGCT